GTGCATCAGACAGGGTCACCACCTTCCACAGCAGAGCTGCAGCCAACCCTCCCTCAGCCCCAGCTAATCCTGCAACAAGACTGGGAAGAGTCTGTCTTGGAGGCTGTCACTACACGTAATGCCTTTCATATGTAGAATCATTCCAACGGGGAAGAGAGAAGGATTTGAGTCCCAGTGTCCCACCAGCATAGACGTCCTGATGGAGTGGGCTGCAGGGGAAAGAAATCCAGCAATTGCTGGATGTGAGGCTGCAGGGCTTTTCCTGAGGGTTAATGCAGCAACCTCCACCCCAGGCTTCACCCAGAACACCCCGATAGTCCTCTCTACAGTCTTCTGTCCAGCTCCCTTAGATCCTGCCCCCAGGAAGTTCTCCCCAGGATCCCACCCCTCTCCCCGAGTACCCCAGATACTGACTCGGAGAAAGTCTCACTCACAATTCTCGTGCCCTGAACTCGACACAGACCCCCACCAACACCCCACGGCATCGACGGAGCATCCCACCCGCTCCCACACCTGCCAGCAGCAGGAGAAGCACTTTCTTAGCAGGACTGTGGTTTCCAGCTCCACACCTCTCCCTGGAGGTTTCCTGGAGCTCCCCTGCAGAGCAGACACGCTGCTGACAGCGGGGAGCCCCGTCGGGGGGAATGGTCATGGGCATGTTGAGTTTGGAGAAGAGGAGGCTGAGGGGAGCCCTCATTGCCCTCTACAACTCCCTGCCAGGAGGGTGTAGAGAGGTGGCGGTTGGCCTCTTCTCCCAAGGGAATGATGACAGGAGCAGAGGAAATGGTCTGAAGTTGGGGCAGAGGAGGTTTAGATGAGATCTTGGGAAGAATGACTTTCCTGAGAGGGTGGTCAGGCCCTGGAAGAGCCTGCCCAGGGAGGTGGTGGAGTCACCATCCCTGGAGGTATCTAAGGAACGTGTAGAGGTGGCTCTTCAGGGCACGCTCTGGGGCCTGGGAGCGTTGGGTTGGGTCTGTCTGGGGGGGGCTTTTTGGGGTTTTTTGGGTTTATTTAGTGGTTGGACTCGATGATCTCAAAGGTCCCTTCCAACTATGAAAGGTTCTGTGGTTCTGTGACCCCCCGGCCACATCCGGGCACCGTCACCCCTCCCCCACCCCGGCCCCACACCGTGTCCTCGTGTCCCACCACCAGCTCCAGCTCCTCGTGTCCCACCGTGTCCTCGTGTCCCACCACGTCCTCATGTCCCACCACCATCTCCATGTCCCCACATCCTCATGTCCCACCACCATCCCACGTCTCCACCACCACATCCTTGTGTCCCACCACCATCTCTACATCTTTGTGTCCCACCATCATCTCCTCGTGTCCCACCACGTCCTCATGTCCTCGTGTCCTCGTGTCCAACCACATCCTTGTGTCCCACCACCATCTCCATGTCTTCATGTCTCACCACCGGCTCCTCGTGTCCCACCACCACATCCTCATGTCCCACCACCAGCTCCATGTCCCCACATCCTTGTGTCCCACCACCATCCCACGTCTCCACCACCATCTCCTTGTGTCCCACCACCACGTCCTTGTGTCCCACCACCATCTCCACATCTTTGTGTCCCACCACTGTGTCCTCGTGTCCCACCACCAGCTCCTCGTGTCCCACCACCATGTCCTCGTATCTGACCACCGGCTCCTTGTGTCCTCCTTGTGTCCTCATGTCCCACCACCGTGTCCTCGTGTCCCACATCCTCGTGTCCCACCACCATTTCCATCTCCTTGTGTCCCACCACCATCTCCACGTCCCCACATCCTCGTGTCCCACCACCCTCCCACGTCCTCACGTCCCACCACCGTGTCCTCATGTCCCACCATCATCTCCTTGTGTCCCACCACCATCTCCTTGTATCCCACCACCATCCTACGTCCTCGTGTCCCACCACCATCTCCATGTCCCCACATCCTTGTGTCCCACCACCAGCTCCTCATGTCCCACCACATCCTCATGTCCTCATGTCCCACCACCATCTCCTCGTGTCCCACCACCATGTTCTTGTGTCCCACCACCATGTCCTCACGTCCCACCACCGTGTCCTCATGTCCCACCACCATCCCATGTCCCCACATCCTTGTGTCCCACCACCATGTTCTTGTGTCCCACCACCATCTTCATGTCCCCACGTCCTTGTTTCCCACCACCATCCCACGTCCTCATGTCCCACCACCATCCCACGTCCTCGTGTCCCACCACCATCCCCACATCCTTGTGTCCCACCACCATGTTCTTGTGTCCCACCACCATCTTCATGTCCCCACGTCCTTGTTTCCCACCACCATCCCACGTCCTCGTGTCCCACCACCATCCCCACATCCTTGTGTCCCACCACCCTCCCACGTCCCCACGTCCTCGTGTCCCACCACCATCCCACATCCCCATATCCTTGTGTCCTACCACCATCTCCTCATGTCCCACCACCACCCCACGTCCTCACCATCATCCCCATGTCTTCGTGTCCCACCACCATCTCCACATCCCCATGTCCTCATGTCCCACCACCACCTCCATATCCTTGTGTCCCACCACCACGTCCTCATGTCCCACCACCATCTCCATGTCCCCATGTCCTCGTGTCCCACCACCATCTCCATCTCCTCGTGTCCCACCACCGTGTCCTCGTGTCCCACCACCCACTCACCCCCCTCTCCCCCTCCCCCAGGCCATGGCCGCCCATCTCCACCCATGGTGCCACCACCACCTCTTCCTCCTCCTCCTCCTCCTCCTCACCCTCTGCCCCCCGGGGTCCCCCCAATGTCGTCGCGCCCGGGGGGCCTCCTGCAACGTCCCCATGGCCCCCACCCCCCATCTCCTGGGGCTGGCCCTGGACGTCACCACCCTGGAGCCCACCGGTGGCCGCGTCCTCCAGCTGGACAAGGAAGACCACCATGATGGTGGCCTCCACCAACCCCCCCAAGATGGCCACCACCAAGACCACCATGATGATGGCCTCCACCAAGACCACCGTGGTGGCCACCACCAAGACCATGATGATGGTGGCCACCACCAAGACCACAACGGTGGCCACCACCAAGACCACAATGATGGTGGCCACCACCAAGACCACCACAATGGTGGCCACCAGCAACCCCCCCGAGCTGGCCCGGTGGCCACCTGCCTGCTCTGCCCGGACCTCCTGGGTGGTGGCCGCCTCCTCCGGTTGCCCCCCGGGGTGGGGGAGTGGAGGTCGGGCCGGCGTTGCCGTCAGAGGTCCCGGGTGGCCACGGGGTCCCAGGCGGTGGGGACGGTGGTGGCCGGGACGCAGGAGGTGGCGCGGGGGTGGCGCGTGGGGCTGGCCGTGGGGCCCGGCCCCACACGGGTGGGGGTGGCGCTGGCCGGGTCCCACTCCAGGGTGGCCCAGTTCGGGCTCCAGCGCCAGCGGGAGGATCGTTACGACTTCGCCAGCCTGGAGATGAGCTGCGTCTTCTACTGGTGGGGCTGCTGCCTCCTCCTCCTCATCTTCCTCCTCATCTCCATCTTCTCCATCTTCTCCATCTTCTTCATCTCCTCCTCCTTCATCTCCATCCTCTTCATCTCCATCTTCTTCTTCTCCATCTTCTTCATCTTCTCCACCTTCATCTTCATCTCCACCTTCATCTCCTCCAGCTTCATCTCATCTTCTCCATCTTCTTCATCTCCTTCACCTTCATCTCCACCTTCTTCATCCCCATCTTCTTCATCTCCTCTACCTTCACCTCCATCTCCATCTTCTCCATCTTCTTCATCTTCTTCTCCATCTTCTTCATCTCCTCTACCTTCACCTTCATCTCCATCTCCATCTCCATCTCCAGCTTCATCTCATCTTCGTCTTCTCCATCTTCTCCATCTTCTTCATCTCCATCTTCTTCATCTCCTTCACCTTCACCTTCATCTCCATCTTCTTCTTCTCCATCTTCTTCATCTTCTCCACCTTCATCTTCATCTCCACCTTCATCTCCTCCAGCTTCATCTCATCTTCTCCATCTTCTTCATCTCCTTCACCTTCATCTCCACCTTCTTCATCCCCATCTTCTTCATCTCCTCTACCTTCACCTCCATCTCCATCTTCTCCATCTTCTTCATCTTCTTCTCCATCTTCTTCATCTCCTCTACCTTCACCTTCATCTCCATCTCCATCTCCATCTCCAGCTTCATCTCATCTTCGTCTTCTCCATCTTCTCCATCTTCTTCATCTTCTTCATCTCCTCCATCTTCATCTCCTCCACCTTCAGCTCATCTCCAGCTTCTCCATCTTCTCCATCTTCTTCTTCTCCATCTTCTCCATCTTCATCTCCTCCACCTTCAGCTCATCTTCAGCTTCTCCATCTTCTTCATCTTCTTCATCTCCTCCATCTTCATCTCCTCCACCTTCATGTCCATCTTCATCTCATCTCCATCTCCATCTTCTTCATCTCCATCTTCTTCGTCTCCTCCATCTTCATCTCCTCCACCTTCACCTTCATCTCCATCTTCTTCATCTCCTCCATCTCCATCTTCATCTTCTCCATCTTCATCTTCTTCATCTCCATCTTCTTCATCTCCTCCACCTTCACCTTCATCTCCATCTTCATCTCATCTTCATCTCCATCTTCTCCATCTTCTTCATCTCCATCTTCTTCATCTTCTTCATCTTCATCTCCATCTTCTTCATCTCCATCTTCTCCACCTTCTTCATCTCCATCTTCTTCATCTCCATCTTCTCCACCTTCTTCATCTCCATCTTCTTCATCTCCTCCACCTTCACCTTCATCTCCATCTTCTTGATCTTCTCCTCCTCCATCTCCATCCTCGTCTCCTCCACCTCCAGCTCCTCCATCTTCTCCCTGTCTTCCAGCCCCTCTGGCCTTCCTCCACCTCCACCTCCACCTCCTTCATCACCTCCCCCGTGGCCTCCTCCATCTCCTCTGTCCCTCCTCTCCCTCCTCCATCATCATCTTCATCACCTCCTCCATCATCGTCATCACCATCACCTCCTCCTCCTCCATCATCATCATCACCTCCTCTTCTTCCTCCATCATCACCTCCTCCTCCACCATCTCCCCCATCTCTCCTTCCATCTCCTCCAGCTCTTCCTCCTCGTCTCCTCCACCATCATCATCATCTCCGCCTCCACCCTTCCACCTCCTGCTCCTTCATCACCTCTTCCTCCTCCTCCATCATCTCCTCCATCATCTCCTCCTCCTCCTCCACCCTTCCTCCATCTCCTCTTCATCACCTCCTCATCTCCTCCTCCTCTTCCTCCTCCACCTTCTCCATCTCCTTCATCACCTCCTCTTCCTCCTCCATCTCCTTCATCTCCTCCTCCTCCTCTTCCTCCTCCACCTTCTCCTCCTCCTCCCCCACCTCCTCTTCCTCCTCCATCTCCTTCATCTCCTCCTCCTCCTCTTCCTCCTCCACCTTCTCCTCCTCC